TGCAATTCCAAGTTTATAGTGGAGTAACTATTGGAATTAATAGAATTAATTAATTAATTAAAGTGTTTAATTGATTATTAATTTTATTGGAGCTCGGGATTATAGGTCCATTAGTCCCCGCGTCGTCCTAGTAATTCTACCAGACACAAAGGGCAAAATGGGAATTTTAGAATTACGGAATTTTAAAATTAAACACTCGAAAATACTTAATTGAGAATTAATTATTATTTAAATAATGTGATTATTTAAATTTAAATTTGAACACATCTAGATTTATCCATTTAAACTTATTTGATAAGTTGTTCAATTTAGAATTCAAATTAATTTAAATTTGACTTAAATTGGAATTTGAGTCAAAATTGGACTACAGGATAAAGGATGATTTTCTCTTCCTTCCCTATTTGCAAATTGGCGCCACACAGGGATGAGAATTCCCTAAGGTGACCGGCCACACTAAGGATAAGGGAATGTGAGATTTTGTTTCAAATTCAAATAGGAGATAATTAACAAGCTTTATCTTGGAGATAGAGATTGGATTCCTTTTAGAAGTTTGACTTATACTCTATAAATAAGAGAATGATAGAAAATTACGCGAGACAATTTTTGAAACAATTTTTTCCCTAATTACAGAGGCTGGCCGAAATTCTCTTAGAGTGAGAAGGAGAAATTTTTCTCCAAAAATTCCACGTCGTGCATGCGTTGGTGTTTGTGAAAATTCGAGTGTTTATTCTAATCCGTTTTGTCTCAGGTGTGCCCACACACACGTCTTCGTAGATTCTAGGAATTGATGTAGAAGACATTGGTTTTCTAAACACAAAGCTTTAGAGCAAGGATTATTCAATGTCAAAGAACTCAAGTTATCATCCTAATCGGCCGCCAGATATTATTTGTAATTGAGTTCTTAATAAATAAATTAATGTGATTAATTTATTTGTGCATAAATTAATATAATCTATAGAGTATCTCAAAGATTTTGTAAAAATTTTTATTATACACGATCCGTCTTCCTGATACTTCCGCACCCTAATTCAATTCGGTAACCAACAAAGGTTGCCCTAAAAGGTCAAGAATCCAGATGTCGCTTCTTTTTTGTACACATTTACTAGGGCCGGCAATATGGGTCACGACACGACGACACGACTCGAAAACGACACGGATTTTGCGGGTTAGGGTTGAGAAAAAAGAGGTTCTGGTCAGAATTGGGTCGACCTGAAATTGACACGAAAAATATGGGTCAATTTCGGGTTGGACCCGCCTAACCCGAACACGACACGTAACTCGTAAAAAACTAAAAAATACATATATTTTTCATTTCATATTTTAAATTTTATTATGAACTTGTGATATCATGATAGTTATACTCAAAATCTTATACTATTATTTGCTTAATTTCAATGGATGTTATTGTAATTTAGTGTGTTATGAATTTTAAGTTATTTCTAATATGTAAAAAACTAAATAAAAGTATACAATTTTCGTGTGAATTTCGGGTTCACGGGTCAATTTCGTGTCACGGGTCATTTTCGGGTCGTGTCGTGTCAGCTCGTAAAGTGGTCGTGTCGTGTTCGTGTTGCGGTTTTTAAAAAATTTCGTGTCGCGGGTCGTGTTCGGGTTGACTGAAAATTTTAAAAAAACGATCAAAACACGACACGTGACACGAATTGTCATCCCTAACATTTACAACATGTTGCACGTACAATACAATAATCACGTATTTTATTAGTATTTTTCTCCCCTAAAAAAAACAAAAACAAAAACAGTATTTTTCTAGCAAAGAGCGAATTCTTATTATTAGCGCCCTATTTTATTTTATTTTTCTTATTACTTTTATGCCTGCATCTTTGGTGGATTTTTTTTTTTTTTGGTTCTTTTCTTTTTGTTCTAATCGAGATGTTGCCAGATTAGACTCGTTAAGGTTTGGCATTCACAAAATGGCACAAAGACCTAGTCCAATAATTTGTATCGTTATCTTGCTAGTAGAAAATAGAACTTGCTTCTTGGCTATTTCCGGCTTAAATGATCACCAAAGCCCATTTCATAGCAATATCTGAAGGAATCTTTTTTTAAGGAGTCTCGGTGCATAGCTTCCCATTAGCAACCCAACTAGGCATAATCAAAAAATTATTATAACATCCCCAGTATATATATTGATTGACTTAATACCGAATAATAAGATATATAGTAATCTATTGATTCAAGTCACGAATGAATGTCAGAAAAATTTATAATAGAAGACTCCGTTATTAATGAAGGAATAATGAAAATTGTACTCCAAAAAGCTATAGTGAAATTTCTAAATTAAATGATAATTTTATTTATAACTATCTTACAATAAACCTATAATAAAATGTCGCAGTTTATTTAGCAGTAAAAGTTATAGTGGCCCTAAATGTTTTATAAAGGCTTGAAAGAGTTTGCAAATATGATCGTTTATGGAATTAGATGGATATTTGTATCTAAATAATTTAGCTTGGACAATTTCTTGATGATTAAGGATGTTTAGCAGATTTCAGACTATATAGTCCACGTGAATTTGATGAACATACCGGCCCCATTTAGTTTACCAATTCGAGTTTTCAATTCAAGCTGAGATGTGACTTTATATGAGAGTTTTTAACCGTAGTAAAAAAAAAAAGTTATATGTGACTTTTTGTGAAACCTTTTAACTGTAATAAAACTGAAATTAAAAACTCAAATCAGTAAAATGAACAAGACTTTAAAGTTTTAAATATTTGTGTTGCTTGAGGACCTGATCAATAGTGGAGTGTAAAGGTCGATACTCCAGGGTGCAAACCCCTAAACACAATCAGCATACCTCGCGTGGAGGTGATTTTATTTTTAGTTTGTGTAAGTTCGTGTTGCACCTATGCCCGTGGTAACCATGTGGGCATATATGACCTCCGAACTCCATTTTTTTTTTATTTTTTTAATTCAAAATTGTTCTATAAATCTTATATTTGAAGTGATTTGCCATTAATTGATGTTTCAAAATACTTGAGATTAATGATTAAAAATGTATATTAGTATTTCACATACTTATATGAATATAACTTACTCGATCTTGATAATATATGTCTTGATTTATTGCACATATTTCCGAGATTTGCACTGTCATATTGTTTTACAATTCATTTTTTCATGGGACCCCTAAACTGAAAATTTTTACAATTGGCTCACGCAACTTTATAATTTGTGTTTGTTTTTCAAAACTGTTTGGCCCATATGCGACCCACATGAGCATCTAATAAGGGCAATGGCATCATTTTCACCTCCAAATAATTTCAATCAGATATCAAAATATCAATCAAATAGAATTTTCTAAATATTAAAAGACATATTTAATGTGCTATTTTATTCTGTGTTGCGATGCTAATACTATTTCATATGTTATGCCTATTTTATGTCATAGCTATTTAATAGTGAGATAACTTAAAAGATAATGTAATAATCATTGGATGAAAAAACTAATATATCAGCTACTAATAATCAAATGCTAAATTTAACGTTACTATACATTGTGATAAATTAATTTGCCAACAAGTATACCATTAACATATACAATAATATTTATATTCGCCCAAAGGCAAAGAAGCTACCATTCTCCGGACTCTTTCTTTTCTAATTTCCGATTGTCAACTAAAATAAAATAAAGTAAAATAAACGAGTTGCCACTCTGACTTTTCCAGTCAAAAAGTTGAGCAGTTTGAAAACAAGGGAGGTTGTCAAAACCCGTCCTTTTCCCAGCCTTAACTTCCTTGGTACCATTCTTTATATAAACCGCCCACAAACCCCCCAAATACACAAGCCAAAGAGCACAAACTTCGACCAAAAGATGCAAAAGATGAGAAACACAATAGCCTCCATAACCATTGCTTTTCTCCTTCTTCTTCTTCTTCTTCTTCATGTCTCCGTTTCATCCGCAGCCTCATATGATGACAATAATTCTTTGTACACAAGATTTCTCCAGTGCCTAGAAAACCACACAAACCCGTCATCCCAAGTCTCAAACCAAGTCTATTCCCAATCAAACACTTCATACACTTCAGTTCTACGAGCATACATCAGAAATGCCCGCTTCAACTCATCCTCAACCAACAAGCCCCTCCTCATCGTCACCGCCTCGCACGAGTCGCACGTGCAGGCGGCGGTTATCTGTGCCAAATCCATCGGCCTGCAGCTCAAAATCCGCAGTGGCGGCCACGACTACGCCGGCATTTCCTACGTCTCCGACTCCCCCTTCGCCATCCTCGACATGTTCCAACTCCGATCGATCTCCGTCGATGTCGCTGACGAGTCCGTCTGGGTCGAATCCGGGGCGACGCTTGGTGAATTGTACTACAGAATTTGGGAGAAGAGCAAGGTTTTGGGATTCCCCGGCGGAGTTTGCCCGACGGTCGCCATCGGCGGACACGTCTCCGGCGGCGGGTACGGACAAATGATAAGGAAGTATGGGTTGGCCGTCGATCAAGTCCTTGACGCGAAGATCGTCGACGTGAATGGAAACATTCTGGACAGGAAGGCCATGGGAGAAGATCTTTTTTGGGCGATTCGAGGTGGCGGTGGCGCGAGTTTTGGCGTGATATTGTCGTACAAGTTGAAGCTTGTCCCTGTGCCGGAAACCGTTACGGTTTTTAGGATGGAGAGGATTTATGACCAGAACCAGAGCGTAACCGACTTTGTTTATGAGTGGCAGAAGGTGGCGCCGGCGACGGACGACGGGCTTTTCATGAGGATGCTGATTCAGCCGATAACTTCGCGGGTTCGGAGGCCGGAGAAGACGATTAGAGCGACGATTGTAACCATGTTTTTGGGCAATGCTGATCAACTTGTATCCTTACTGGACAAGGAGTTTCCTCTTTTGGAGTTGAAGAAAGAGAATTGTATGGAGATGAGTTGGATAGACTCTGTTTTGTGGTGGGCTAATTTTGACAACGGGACTTCACCGGAAGTTTTGCTCGACCGAGATCTCGATTCCGCGAATTTTCTGATAAGGAAGTCGGATTATGTTCAGACTCCGATTTCGAAAGACGGGTTGGAGTGGCTGTGGAAGAGGGTTACTGAATTGGGCAAAACCGGATTTGTTTTCAATCCTTATGGCGGCAAGATGAACGAAATTTCTCCGGCCGATGCGCCTTTTCCTCATCGCGCCGGCAATCTGTACAAAATTCAGTACTCCGTGAATTGGGAGGAGTCCAGCCCCGAATTGGAGAAGAATTATACAACGCAGATAAGAAGGCTTTTCAGTTACATGACTCCGTTCGTGTCTAAGAATCCTAGACGTGCTTTCTTGAATTACAGAGACTTGGACATTGGGGTGAATAGTTTTGGTGAAAATAGCTATGAAGAAGGGAAGGTTTATGGGGTCAAGTACTTTAGTGATAATTTTGATAGGTTGGTGAAGGTGAAGACTGCGGTTGATCCCGAGAATTTCTTCAGGAATGAACAGAGTATCCCAACTCTATCAAGTAAGGCATAAAGGAAATTTACCAGTCACACACGGCTTGTTGTAGTTGTGATATATTTGGTTACTAGAATAAACGATTTACTCCATTGGGTATTTTGTGATGTTGCTATTGGTAATTAATTACCCCATTTGATATAGTGAAATACAGAAATTTTGAGCGTTCAAAAGTGTTTTTTTTATCTTTCTCAAGTCGAGCATATTTAAGACTAGATGTGACATGTATGGGAAATTAGCGTACAATATATTCAATTTAGTTAGCAGCAACGATCAAAACCTTGCGTGATTGATGGTTCTGTTTGTTAAGTTAGTTTTACATCACCTTTTGGTAATGTTAAAGGACTTTTTACCCTTTTGGAAATCTAACTTGTGTACTTTGAAGAGGGCTCAAAAGTCATTGAGTTGAATTAATTGTTGGTGACCAAATTAATCATATAAAGGTGTGAACTAAAAAGATCCACATACCATGTCACGATTGGACATAAAATTATGAGAATTTAAGTACAATTTATTGGATTGAAATTGCATGGAAGCTACATTAAGTGTTTCTCTTCACAGACTTTCTCTTGTCTCTCACGCGGTTAAGCAATGGCCTTTATTACACTTGGTCCCAAAATCATGTGGGTGTTGACTTTTTGTTTGCAAAGGCTTTGGATCATCCGTTTGTATTCTCAACTTTTGCATACGTCTATTATTTGTAACATGACATAAGCTTGTGCGTCGGCAAGTTTTTTTGTTGGTATATTGTATGGTCTTATATTGTATGGTATCTTTGTCATTAGTAAGTTTTTTTGTATCATGTCATCATGTGACTTTGTTTGGATTTTTGTCTTGTGGTTTTGACCAATAAACACCAACATTTCATTTATTTCCCATTTTATGGCATGTTAACGTTTCTTATAGTCCAGGAATGGTAAAATTCAGCTACGCTGTTTATCACACTCCTGTTTCAAGTGTTTGCACCCCATTTGTTCGACATTTGTCCTCAACTAAAAACCTTTTGAATTTGTCCTACTGCGTTATTCTTCCTAATTATTGAGTGCTAATTGGAGTGCTCTGTGGAAGGTTAATAATAATATGTACGTAGTTAGTTTCATGGTAAATCTTGCATGTGATAAATGCTAATGTAACAGCCTTGTGCTGTGCTTTAACGCAAGGGCTAAGGCCTATTTAGGCTTGTTCGTAATTTCTCAATTTGTATATCCACATTGGGGAACTTCTCCAAAATTTCTATTGTTTTCATTGGATATTAATGTTATTCTGCTCGTCTTACTCAACCTCAGCTTGCAATATTTTCTGATATTTTCTGTTAATTATACTGCAGGTCCCGTTTCCAGTGTGACAGGAGGGTCGAGGCCTAACGTGTCATCAAAGGTGGGAGTCTTGATATATTTGTTTGTTTAAAGGTCATAACTGCACATCTTTTTCTCAAATACACTTATAATTTTGTTTATTCTTCGCAAAATGCGATATTTGTTACCGTGAGACCTATGGATCTCATATGCGAGACTCACCTTGGTGCTTAGCGTCGTGGACGCCCTATGACATTGTTCTTTTTACCGTTCATTTCGCCGATTCGAGTTTAGAATTCGAATTTTGCTACAGTAAAAAGTTCTCAGAAACAGTCACATCTAACTTTTTTGCTACAGTAAAAAACTCTCACATAAAATCACATCTCAACTCGAATTACAAACTCGAATCAGCGAAATGAACAGATCCTAAGTGTGTATAGTTGAAAAACACGATATTCCCGGATCCACTTCAAAGGCTAGCTAGATTCCCTTTTTGACTTTATGTGGTTTGGTTAAGTTATGTTTTCTTCACGCGAAGTGGATGGATGCGAAGGAATTGTGGAAGACAATGAACCACGTCATCAAATAAGAAGTCGTTAAATGCATGAAGGGCTAAAGAGTTGTCGATCTTTTAAACATAGACACGGTTATTAGGTAAGTCATCAGACTCATCTCCTCTTGTTCGTGGCTCTTGTTTGATGACTATAATTAATAATTACACCACCTCCTGCGTGGTGGGAGTAGAGAGTAAGAATGTTAAATTGTTACTTATGTTGGGACTATCAGAGACTTGCCATAATAATTGACCATTGAAACAAATGCAACAATGGTTTTTTATGTGTAAGCAAGTTATAAATAATATAAATTACCTACACCTTTTTTGGGGCAATATAATTACGGAAATTAGCAAGAGGCTATGGACTCTCTGTAACTACTCACTGGTTAGCCTGGTCTTCTCTGCCTTTTGGACTTGGCCCATTAAAATGGGTGCTTTCATCATCGATAATTCCATCTTTTTTTTTTCCGGAGGGAAAGTTGCTTTCTATTGAATTAGGCCGAATTAGGCCAAAACTAAGGGAGTCACAAATCTAGAAACCGTGTTAGTTCCGACAAAGTCCAACATAGAGTGGAAAACAGAAGAACTTGGAAATGGGCAACAAAATTCCCTTCTCGAGGAACAAAGCCACAATTCCAATTATTATCCCGGGATAACAGCTCAAGAATGTCATCAATTAGAACTCCCTCTTCAGCCAATATAGACCCCATATTGACCGCCTGAAGCAACCGAAGTGTAAGCACTCTTAAGTTTTTGGTGAAAAATGGAAGCATGCGACCTTCCTTGATTTCATTGATATTTATACACAAGTAGTTTGATATTATTACAAATCAATCAAATAAATGCTGACATATCCAAATTTCATTACGTGATGGAACTTTCCTTATAGTTTTTGGAAGACCCAATATCAAAGGGATTGCTCTGAGTGTTGACGATTGCATTGCTGATTGCTTGTGATATGTCATTGACTTTGCCTCTTGCAAATCTTTCCTTATCATGCCCCCTCAAGTTGGAGAGGGAAGTAGACTGAACGACCAACTTGTTTCTGAGAAAGGTATAGGTGGCCTTTGACAGAGGCTTAGTGAATATATCTGCTGGTTGTAAGGAAGAAGGCACATATCGAGTAACAAGAGTGCCCATGGCAACTTTTTCACGCACAAAATGATAATCTATTTCGATATGCTTAGTGCGGGCGTGAAATAATAGATTAACAGACATGTATAAAGCACTTAAATTATCACAAAATAGTTGTGGTGGCTTGCGTAAAGAGATGCCAATATCACGAAGCAACAAAGTTAACCATGTGAGTTCAGCAGTAGTGGAGGCCATCGAACGATACTCAGCTTCCGAGCTTGATCAGGCAATTGTCGATTGCTTTTTAGAACACCAAGAGACACAGTTAGCTCAGAGAAAAACACAAAAACCAGTAGTACTCCTCCTTGTCGTAGAACATCCTGCCCAATCGGCATCTGAGAATGCATAGAGAGAAATGGGGCTGTTTGAAACGAAACGTAGACCATAATCTTGAGTTCCCTTGAGGTAGCGAAGTATTCGTTTACTGCCTTGAGATGAAGCATAGTCGGATGATTGAAAAATTGACAGATTCAATTTACCGAGTGAGTTATATCAGGCCGAGTGAGTGTCAAATATTGTAAGGCGCCTGCTATACTCCGAAAATTTGTAGCATCCACAAGTTCATCATCTGAACTGGTAGACTTGTCTTTAAGAGCCATTGGAGTAGCATTAGTAGCACTAGTAAGCATGCCAGTACGTATGAGCAAATCTTGTACATATTTGGCTTGTGAGAGAAAGATACCTCCATCAAAGGTTTTTATTTCAACTCCTAGAAAATATTTCAAAGCTCCCAAATCTTTAATAGCAAACTCGACACTTAATTGTTGAATGATAGTAGTGACGAACAAATCACTGTTTCCGGTGACTAAAATATCATCGACGTAGATGAGTAGCAAAATTGTTGTATTATTCTGACGATAAACAAAAAGTGAAGGATATGCCTTACTGCAAAAGAAGCCAAGGTGAAGCAGGAATCGAGAGAGCCGATCGAACCATGCTCGGGGGGGCTTGTTTAAGACCGTATAGGGACTTGCAAAGCAGACACACATGATCGGGCTTATGTGGGTCAACAAAACCGGGAGGTTGTTCCATATAAACAGTTTCTTTGAGATTACCATGTAAAAAGGCATTTTTAACGTCGAGTTGCCTCATACTCCAATTGAGTGAAGTCGAGAGAGCTATCACTGTTCGAATGGTTGTGTGTCGAACCACCGGACTGAATGTCTCATCATAGTCAATACCGGAGACTTGAGTAAAGCCATGGGCAACTAATCTAGCCTTGAAGCGATCTATAGAACCATCTTCATGTTGCTTGATTCTGTAAACCCACTTGGCCCCAACAACATTTGAATTAGCGGGTCAAGGAACTAAAGACCAAGTGTTGTTGTCCTTGAGAGCTTGTAGTTCTTCATGCATTGCTTCTATCCAGCGTTTATCTTTAAGAGCTGAACGAAAAGTCTTTGGCTCTGTAGGAGTTGTAGAGTGATGAGCCAGATTACATTCATAATCTTGCAGATAGGCTGGTGCGTGTCGAATTCTGTGAGGTCGCTCGGTGACAGCATTTGAAGAAGGCGTCTCTGCTACACCATTTGTTTCAAGAGCATTGTCATTTGGCAAAGACGATTCTTTCTCAGAATGAATAACATCATTGTTCTCCAAAAGATCATTGTTTTGCTCCATGGAAACTTCTTCTCTGAGTGTTCTTTGAAGCATGCCATTATTTTCTTCCATTATAGTGTCACCTGGACAAAAAATTTCTTCATCTGCACCACAACAAGAGTTAGTTTTTTGATAAAAACTTTTTTTTTTTTTTTTGGTGAAAAATGGAAGCATGCAACCTTCCTTGATTTCATTGATATTTATACACAAGTGGTTTGATATTATTACAAATCAATCAAATAAATGCTGACATATCCTAATTTCATTACGTGATGGAACTTTCCTTATTGTTTTTGGAAGACCCAATATCAAAGAGATTGCTCTGAGTGTTAGACGATTGCATTGCTAATTGTTTGTGATCTGTCATTGACTTTGCCTCTTGCAAATCTTTCCTTATCACGAAGAACATCAACTTCAGCAACATCGATCTGCAAGTCACAGGATCTCGCAAACATAAGTCCTTCCAGAGAGCTAAACACTCAACAATAAGGGAAGTAGGATCCAAGATCACACCTGCGGTTTCTCTGATCACAACAACCGCCCCTATAAGCCCAAACGTTCAGCAACAGATGCATCAACATTAAGTTTCAACGACCCCTAGAGCGATGTCGTCCATTTAACGGTACTCTGAATGTGTGATCCCATAGATGGTTCGTCCGCGTCCTTGCAATTTTGGTAGTCCCCCACCATGCGCCCAGCCAGCTCCAATGTATCGACAGGAGATCTCTACAGTTTGTCGTGAATGAAATGATGCGTAGCCGTCAAAATGGCCCGCGCCATACCGCACAGCTAGAGGTCAGATTGAGAAGCGAGACGACTCCACTTAACAAACAATCATTCAAAGCATATCTACCAAATTTTAGTTTTGGCCATAATGCACATGAATCTCGTACTTGACGAGCAAACTTTGCATTCTCACAACGCATGGCTCCACAACTTAAACCACTCTGCTCTGATTTCAATTCCATGGCTAGTCGATATCCCAATCTAATAGTGCAGTTGCCTTTAAGGTCAAAATGCCAAACCCATTCATCTTGTTGAGCTCCCTTTCCTAATGGGATGCCGAAAATAACCTCTTGATCAATTGGCAAGAAGGTATTATAGATAAACTCCCTGTTCCATTGTCGATTAAGGATGAAATCTTCCTGTCAGTTTCTGAAACGATTTCAAACGAAAACTATAGCGGAAGCGGAACAGATTGGATCGAGTACAAACAAAAAGTATCATAAAACTTTTGTTGAACACTACAGATTACACAACTTATCCGATAAATCAACCAAAATATGCGTTTCAACCAAAACGCGCGATTTCGTTGAATTAACTGTTGCTCGCTACAATTGCGTTTTTCAAACTTATTAATATGTATAGATTTACTATAGCTCGCTACAGTAGCGTTTTTTCAAACTTATTAATATGTATAGACAATAAAGGGTGAACAAATAGGACTCACATCCAACATACAAGGTGAACCTATCAAAACATAATTACGTATTATTTTCCTGCTCTCTCTCTCTCTCTTGTCTTCTATTTTCACATTTCTTTAGTGTTCTTGTGCAGTGGATTTCAGTGGCAGCTCGAGTTTAAACCGCACACGCAGAGAGTTGTTAAGAACGTGATTTGTGATACTGTGGGATTTACCGATCCTGATTCTTGGAGTGGTGCTGAAGCGTTTCCGTCATGGTTGTTGTGTGACTATAGCAGAAAAAAAAAAAAAAAAAAAAAAAAAAAAAAAAAAAAAAAAAAGGGCTTTTTTTTTAAAAAAATTTTTTTAAAAAAAAAAAAAAATGAAAATTTTAAAAAAAAAAAAAAAAAAAAAAAAAAAAAAAAAAAAATAGAGTCGTCATTTTGAGAACTAGATTTTTAATAAAATAACAATGCGCACATGATCTCATCACTTGTTACCTCTCTTTTTCCCTAAAAATGTAAATTTGTTATACTTATAGATAAGTGATAGTTTACAGAAAGGTCTTAGTAGTGACGCAAAATGTCTCATTACTTGAAAGCGTGAAGCAACAAGTAGTTGTCTACATATGTTAAGCACCATTATCATTGCGTGGATCAACGTAAAAGCCGCAAATGAAAGCGTAAAAGCGATGTAATACTTGCTCTTAGAGTCTTATAAAGCAGTGGACATATAATTGATGGCCCTTGGCCGGTTTGAGTTTTTCATATTCTGTGGCAGCTTCGTCATTTTATCTTCACTGAAATCATTATATCTGAAACGTCACGTTACTCGTACACAAGCCTTTTCTTCACTTTGATCCCAAGGAATTTTCTATTTCTAGCATTCACTCTTATTTTCATCTCTGCTTATTTCCTTAAATCTCCCTATTAGGCAAACGAATGATTGTTAAAATAAAAAGTTTCCCAAATACAACATTTCATTTAAAATAGTTGAAATGCTTTTTAACTTACTTTTTCATGGTTTTGTTATTTAAATCTATTAAATAATTTTACATAATATGACTGGTTAGACATCATTTAAGACACGAAAAATTGGACAAATGATTTGATTAGCGAACGGAATACATATTATTACTTTGTTGCTTCAAAAGAAAGATCAGCATTAGACATAATGATTAATTCTAGGCAACCTAATTTTATTCAAGAAACATTATAAGTTGGCAAAAACGTTTCTTCAGGTAGACTGTTTGGAAAAATAATTACCTCAATGTCTCCATATATTTCCATATAAAAAGGGTTAAACATTCTTTACTTAGCACCACCATTTCTTTGTCACAGAGAGAGAAACTCAAAGAAAGCAAAGTAATATGGCGGTTTGGATCAAACCGTCTGTAGCAATAATTATGTTTCTCCTCCTTCAATGTTCTGAATATTCATTAGCAGCTTCAACACTAGAAACCTTCGCACAATGTGTCTCCCTTAACTCCGACCTTTCTGTTCTTCCACTTTCAACAATATTCTTCGCCGCAAATGATACTTTCTTCACTACTATTCTCCAATCTTCCGCACAAAATCTCCGCTACTTGGTGCCATCAGCGCCGAAACCCGAGTTCATCTTCACGCCATTGCATGATTCCCACGTCCAAGCCTCCGTGATTTGCTCCAAACAGCTCGGACTACATCTGAGAGTCCGAAGCGGAGGCCATGACTACGAAGGCCTTTCTTACGTTTCCGAGATCGAAAGGCCTTTCATAATTGTAGATCTTTCGAATCTTCGAGTAGTTTCCGTCGACGTCGAAGAAAACACTGCATGGATACAGGCCGGTGCCACTATTGGTGAAGTTTACTACAGAATTGCAAAGAAAAGCAGAGTACACGGGTTCCCAGCCGGGCTTTGCACGAGTTTAGGCATTGGCGGGCACATAACTGGTGGAGCTTATGGCTCTATGATGAGAAAATACGGCCTAGGCGCTGACAACGTTGTAGATGCGAAAATTGTCGACGCTAACGGGAAAATTCTAGACAGAGCGGCCATGGGAGAAGACTTGTTTTGGGCGATCAGAGGCGGCGGAGGAGCCAGCTTTGGCATCATTCTTTGGTGGAAGATTAAACTCGTTCCTGTTCCGGAAACCGTGACGGTTTTCACCGTTGCAAAAACTTTGGAACAAGGAGGTACAAAGGTTCTTCACAAGTGGCAACAAGTTGTTGACAAGCTTGACGAAGATCTCTTTATTAGGGCCATTATACAAGTGGCTAACGCCGGCGAAAAAGGTCAGAAAACCATTGTCACTGCTTACCAAGGCCTGTTTCTTGGTGGAGTTGACAAACTTCTGCAAATCATACGACAGAGCTTCCCCGAACTGGGTTTAACAGGCAAGGATTGCGTCGAAATGAGTTGGATCGAGTCCGTCCTCTACATCGCAAGCTTTCCGACCGGAACTCCACCCGAAGTTCTTCTCCAGGGGAAATCCACATTCAAGAACTTCTTCAAGGCGAAATCGGACTTCGTAACAGAACCGATTTCCGAAACCGCGCTCGAGGGTCTGTGGAAGAAGCTGATGGAGGAAGACTCTCCGTTGACAATCTGGACTCCTTATGGCGGAATGATGAGCAAGATTTCGGAGTCCGCAATCCCTTTCCCTCACAGAAACGGCACAGTTTTCATGATCCAGTGGCTGTCATTGTGGCAAGATGGAGAGAGAGACGCAGGAAAGCACATGAACTGGATTAGGAAGCTTTATGATTACATGGCTCCTTATGTTTCGAGGTTTCCGAGGCAAGCGTACGTGAATTACAGAGATCTTGACCTTGGGATGAACAAGAAGAACGAGACTAACTTCATAGAGGCGAGTGGTTGGGGAAACAAGTACTTCAAGGATAACTTTGACAAGTTGGTGCTGATTAAAACCATGATTGATCCCGATAACTTCTTCAGGCATGAACAAAGCATTCCGCCGCTTCCGCGCCCGTCTTCCCAAAGCATGGGTTGCTCTGATTCGGCTTGATTTGTGTTTTGGAGATCAGTTGGTTTGCCTAGCTATACAATATGGTGTTTTGGTGATGATCAAGTTTTTTTACTCGTGAGATGTGAATGGGAAAAATGTATTGTCTTGTGCATCTTCCTATATATGTAGTCGCGTCATAGAAAATGTTTATTTAAGTTGTGGATGTTTATTAAAACTTTTAGACTGTAAAATTTTATACTTGTGCTTGTTGGTATACTAATAGAGTTAGGAATCTGCAAAATGATAACTTCAGATTAGAGAATCCGGAACATTCAACTATGTAATTGGCACTCTTATCACCTCCCAAACCCCCTACTTTGACATTATTAAAACGAATCTATGATCATAGTTCTTAACACATAAAGAAAATCTAGTCTTTTAAATGGAGCTAATTTAATAATGCCCCCAAACATCTCCAACAAAATGGATCAGCTAGCCCCAAAGTTTAAATAGAAACAAATTACATTTCTCTGAATCTATAATTTGGAAGACCTCTGCCATCTCTGGTAATGAGGTCAAAAATAAAACCGTGGTCGATGTAAGAATTTACGGCGGATCGTGTCCTTCAAGTTGCATTTGCTTCCTTCTACCACATCGTAATTAGTCATTGGTACGGTCGGTATATACGTAATCTATACTTTTAAATTGTTTCTTTTTTTCAGATTTCTATTTTTTAAAAAATTTAAATGTTTTCAACATATTTAAAAAATAATTTTTATTTAGACTTAATTTTAAAGCAAATTAATTAAAAGGGTATAAAAGACATTTTATGTTTGATTCATAGTACTAAGAAATTTTTTTTACATATAAATATGGTTCAATATTATAAAAAAAAAAAAAAAAGGTAAGGTACCTACGGTATACCAGAGGGTACCCTAACATGACTTTATCCCACTCAAAGTTTCCAACTTCCAACCTAATTTCACTCTAGAAAGTTTGACAGAAATTTTTTTCTAGGGAGAGTGAGAGAGATGCAAAACAAAATAAATTTATGCCTTGTTCATTTTGCTGATTCGAGTTTAGAATTCAAATTTTGCTACAGTAAAAAGCTCTCAGAAACAGTCACATCTAATTGCTACAGTAAAAAATACTCACATAAAATCACATCTTAACTCGAATTAAAAATTCGAATCAGCGAACTAGTGAGAGAGAGAGAAGGTTTAGCTGAACTTTTTCTAGCTAGAGTGAGAGATGCAAAACAAACAAAACACGACAACCAAAACTTATCTTGTGATAACTTCTCGTGGCACACTTGACACTTTACATGCAGTGATGAATCCATGATTTTTGGTCAGGGGAGGCTAATGACTACGATAAAAATTTAAGAAAAGTAAATAATTATCAAGGCTATTAAAGATCTATTTCTTGGCGTGTTAAAGAAAATTTTCATTCAATTATTGATCTCTTATTTGATTGTATAGTCGATTTTCACAATATTCATACTAGAAAAATATCTCTTGCGTTTTCTTTTATCATTTTTAACTAGAAAGATATATTAGGAAGTTAATTGTCATGTTTCCTGAGGTTGTTTTAGTTTCTTATTATACTACTTTACTTTCTGTGTATGCTCATCAATACTTTTGATCCTAACTAGAACTGCTCGCTAAAACATAACACTACTCACAACAAATGAATTCACAAAAATCTAGTCAAGAAATTTAGAGAAGAAAATAAATAGATTTACTCTTATAAACAATTGAGGCCATTATATGGGTGTGAGATCTTGTTATGTTCTAGGAAATATTAGTTCGATTTTGGTTTAAACTTTAAAAAGTAACAGTGTTTCAATTTTTCAAGAAAGAAAACTGTTTTTTTTTTTTTTTTTTTTTTGTAATTTTTTAGGGGGTTATATTTAAATATAGTATAAAACATGTGTGTAATATACAAATAACAAAAAGTTGAGGGGGCCGCTTAATTATATTATAATATTGAAGGGTAATTTGGGTAAAAAAATTAAAAAAAAAACTTAAAATGGCCATTCCTCCTATATGAAAAAGGAACCATGATTTATCTAAAATTGGTGAATGACCATTCTTTTTGAATGATCATTCATTTCTTATAAATCTAACTAAATATCAAACTAGAATTTCATTTCATTCTATTCTATTCCTTTCTACCTAACCAAACAAAACGTAGCTTCGTCCCTGTTTATATGAAAATCATTTGTTTATTATTTTCATGCTAGCTACGACTTCTTTTTCGTAATCCTTTGATCACTAATACGTCATCATATAGTCTACTCTACGGTGTCGTATCATTTATTAAAAAGTCATCCCCACATAAATCTATACAATCTAATCTAATCTTGCAAGATTGGAATGCGAAGATTGTTACTTCGCGTGCAGTTCTTGTTTATGCTGACAAACGTGTGTAGTCATGCTTCGGTGCTTGCCCCCTTCTAAACGAGTCACGGATTTAACTTCTATACATGTCTTGAAGTAACATTGTCTCGTTGCTTGAAAAGATAAAAAAGCAACCTCAAATTATGGGTATTAGGTAGAATTCATCCCGATAATTTGCTAACTTGAAAGGTTATGAACGCGTTTAGAACTCGTTCTAAAATTATTTTATGTTTTGTATGAAAATGAAAATGAAAATGAAAATATTTTCAATTTCAGACAAAAATCATTTTTAAAAATGTGTTTAGTAGTTTTATCAAGAAATTATTTTCAGTGTAAAAAAACTCATTAATGTCTCTCTTTCTCTCTCTCTGCTCGCTCGAGAGATGAGAAAACGAAAATAAAAAATGAAAAACGACTAAAAGTCATTTTTTCATTTCTATCTCATTTTACACTAAATTAAAAAATCATTTTCATTTCCGTTTTTTGTCTTTATTATGCTAAACGCCGTTTTGAAAACGTTTTCATTTTTTCTTTCTCAAAAAACGTAAAAATAAAAACGGGATCAATTCTAAACACGGCCTATTGGTTTGATTTGTACATGTGTTATGATGTTTTCTAATTATTAGTGTCATACAATTAAATGGGAGAAATTGAGTTACCATTTGATACCATGTTAAATGGGTATTAGGCAGAATTCATCTAAAAAAAATAGCTTAAAGAGAGAGGTTGTTCAAACCACTTATAACATCCCAACAGTCCTCCCTCACGCCAAGAGTGCATGACCGGGGTCCATAATATTCCAATTCCACATTTAACTCTAATAACATGTACAAGCTTAAGAACCAAATTGAGAGAAATGGGGGTTAGGGTTTCTTATTAAATTGCATAATGAAATACGTCCGAACATAAAGTTATATAAATAAATGAGAAGACAATTTTGCCTTTACTGAAGTCGAAGACACATAATAAAACAAAAGGCGTGTTTGGTATTATTTTTAAAATAATTTTATTTTTAGTATAAAAATAAAAATAAAAATATTTTAAAAATTATTTTAGAACCGATTCTGAAAGTACGTTTCGTTAATTTTTTAAAGAGTTGTTTTGAATATAATAAAAAATAAAATCATATTTAGTTATAATTATTAATTAATATTATAATAATATTATTAGTAAGTATGAAAAAATAAAAATTAAAAAGTAAAAATATCTTTCAACTTTCTTACTGATTTTTATTTTATTTTCATTTTTTAAATATTTAATAAACAAAACGTCGTTTTTACGTTCAATTTCATTTTTTTTCTCATCGAAAAACGTAAAAAAGTTTTTGGAAACAACCCCAAACGCGCTGAAAAGTGTAATATTTTCGTAAAAAAGTTTTTGGAAACAACCCCAAATGCGCTGAAAAGCTAAATATTATTTAACACGATTAACATTGCACATTACACGAGGGACAGCCTCACTTGACTAATTAATCAGTAATAGTCTTTAATTTGACCTAAAGAAGTATCTTATCCAATTAAATTATATTAGATTGAGGTGGAGATAAAAGTGGTGTTAATTTATAGGCCCTGAGTCAACAACACACAGCTGATCCATTAGAACCCACCAAATTATTCATGATTAAGATGGGACCCATGGCCCGATTAATCTCCACACCCACTTTAGCAGGGTTTTTTTTTCCACTTGCAAAATTGGTTTATAAAAGAGACAAAAAAAAAAAAAATGATAAGCACTCCTTGGAGAACAAATAGAGAAACTCAAAAGAAATAAAGATAATGAAGATTTTGAAATTATCATGCACTATTTTATTATTTATTGTGCTTCTCCATCCAGATTCACTTGCAGATTCGGCCTCAACTCTAGAAAGCTTCATCCAATGTGTCTCACTCAATTCTGATCTTTCAGTACTCCCAATCTCAAGCACAATCTTCTTCTCCAGAAACAGTTCTCTGTTTACTTCTGTCCTAGAATCTTCCGCTCAAAACCTAAGGTACTTGGTTCCTTCAGCTCCAAAACCCGAGTTTATCTTCACACCCCTGAGCGATTCCCATGTCCAAGCCTCTGTCATTTGCTCAAAACAGCTCAAAATACATCTGAGAGTCCGGAGTGGAGGCCACGACTATGAGGGTCTCTCCTACGTATCGAAAATCGAAACATCTTTCTTTATACTCGACCTCGCCAATCTCCGATCGGTCGACGTTGATCAAATCAACAACAACACTGCTTGGATTCAGGCCGGCGCAACTATCGGAGAAGTTTACTACAGGATTGCTCAGAAAAGCAAAGTCCATGGCTACCCTGCCGGCCTTTGCACCACTTTAGGCATTGGTGGGCACATAACCGGAGGAGCGTATGGCTCCATGATGAGAAAATACGGTCTCGGTGCTGACAACGTTCTCGATGCTCTAATTGTCGATGTCAACGGCGAAATACTTGATAGAAAAGCCATGGGAGAAGATCTGTTTTGGGCGATCAGAGGCGGCGGAGGAGCAAGCTTTGGAATCATCCTCTGGTGGAAGATAAAACTCGTGCCAGTTCCCGAAACCGTGACGGTTTTTACGGTTAGTAAGACGTTGGAGCAGGGAGCTACAAAGCTACTTCATAGATGGCAACAAGTTGTGGACAAGCTTGATGAGGATCTCTTCATTAGAGTTCTCATACAGCCAGAAAGTGTGGGAAAAAACAAGACGAAGAGAACTATTTCGACAGCTTACCAAGCGCTCTTTCTTGGGGATACTGAGAGACTCCTTCAAGTTATGCGCAAGAGCTTTCCTGAATTGGGTTTGACAAGAAGAGATTGCGCCCAAATGAGCTGGATCCAGTCCGTTATTTACATCGCGGGATATCCAAGCGGGACGCCAAATGAAGTCTTGCTTCAAGGGAAAACTTCATCAAAAGTCTCTTTCAAGGCGAAATCGGATTTTGTGAGGAACCCCATTCCGGAGACGGCTCTCGAGGGGATTTGGAAGAGGTTTTTGGAAGAAGAAAATCCTATCACAATTTGGACACCATATGGAGGGATGATGAGCAAGATTGCGGAATCCGAAATCCCTTTTCCTCACAGAAAAGGAACAATCTTCATGATCCAGTACCTAACTGCTTGGGTTGATGGAGATAAAAGCACAACAAAGCACGTGAACTGGATTCAGAAGCTTTATGATTACACCGCTCCTTACGTCTCTAGGTCTCCTAGAGAAGCGTACGTGAACTATAGAGATCTTGATCTTGGTACAAACAGAAGGAACAGCACTGGTTTTATAGAGGCACTTGCGTGGGGTTATAAGTATTTTAAGGGCAACTTCAACAGACTTGTGAAGGTGAAGACCAAAGTTGATCCTAGTAACTTCTTTAGGCATGAACAGAGTATTCCTCCACTTTCACGCGCACATTATAAGAAGTTTAGTGAAATAGAAGGTACTAATGATCCCCTCAAGGGATAGTTAATTATGATGGATTATTGATCTTTGCTTCTATTTATGGATTTGGATATTATCCCTGTCTTATGTTTATATGATATGTCGTTTTGCTAAGTTAACCACAATGAAGAAGAGAAAATGCTACTTGCATTTCTCATATGATCTTTAGCATTGTGGAATGTGAGGAAGGATAATCAATAAAAGAGAAATTTAGCATATCCCAACTAGTTTGGCAATTAGTAAGTGTTCACCCGCAAGCGTACGGGGTCAAGTTTTGATAATATAGGGTGATTGAGTATCGCTTCTACAGGAATTGAGTGTTAAATTATCACTAAGTACCGTGATTATTGTAACTTAATTTTATCTAGACAACTGAACTAAATGAAATAAAATAGAACTTAAACGGATATAAATACAAAAATAAGATAAAAAATGAAAACTTCTATACACAAGTGTACTAAGGACTTGACTTCACCTTATCATTCCTATGTTCATTCTATCAAGCTAATGATGGCCAGTTCCAATTAATTCATTCATCAAGGGACCTAATTGAACCTCGCTACCTCTCCCAAGCGTCAAACGAAGTAATATTTATGAATACCCAGATCAATATTCTTATCTAACCCGTTTACCCATACACTCATAAGTTTAGCTCATAAATTAGAACTCAAATGTCAATCGCCTCCTGGCCTCACAACAATCGAAATCTTAGTTGATAATTAAGGTCTTGATCACCTTCCGGTCTCACAATATTCTAGACTCTCAACGAGATTATCTAAGTGTTGTTCTCTTCTTGGACTCACAACAACCGAGACTATGTTTCCCAATTTCGGGCTATGAAATCAATCTCTCCCAAGCATCAAAATCACAATCTAAAATTATCTAACTCATTGACCACATAAATTATAAACATTAAACATAGAGAAACATAAATAAATTAAGATGAAATTTAACTAACAATTGACAAGATAATCAAAACAGGTTCAAATAAAGCTACAACAAGCCCTATAATATGAAGTCTGGCTCAGCATATAGGAATCCATAACCAAAATCACAAATTTAAGAACATAAACTAAAATACTACAAAGAAAAGGGAGAAAGAAGAAAAACTACTTGTGGGGATGAGCTTTAAGTATTCAAATCTTCAAAAATCTCTCCCAAGCATTCTTCAAGAATCTACAACTCTAAACTTTTCTCTCTAGGAATTTTTGTGTCTCTCATCATCTCCAAGTTGGGAACTAGGGTTTCTCTTACTTAAGTATGCCCAAAATTAGAGAATAACTTCATCTAAACTCATCTAAGGGTCAAAAATGGCCATCCAAAATGATCAAGGGCCAAAAAATGGCCCAAAGGCACGTTTCAATACAGTAGGGGACGCAGTCGCACGCCTGGTGGGCGCAGCCGTACAGCGCCTGGCTTGCTGCCAGGGGGCGCGGGCGCGCTGCAGGCCCGCGTACCAGCCCCTGCCAAGGTTGCTCTTGGGCAATAAAAATAAGGAATAACATTCAAGAAAGCGTGATCATTTTCCTATTTTAAATACCCTTTCTCATTGACGCCGAAGTTTATTGAACTTTTTCTTCTCAAAGTCTGGCAAATTATTTATCAACATATCAAGGTCTATGAATTTGTCCCAAAAACCCGAGACCACAATTTAACGTATCTTTCTGAAAACTCGGCGAATTGTTTATTTGATTGTCTGTTTCAAAGCTTCCAACAACACGAGGATCTGTTTTGTTATTGTTTTCAATATTTGCACAATGTTGTGTTTGGGAAAAAACACACCACTATATTTACGGAGCAGAAAAATTAACTAAAACAAAAAATAATAGAAAAATAGAGAAGATAAATATTTAAGTGTTTCGGAAAAATTTTCTACATACACGGAAAAGGAAGAAAAATTTTACTAACAGTTTTAGAATTACACACTTAATAAACTTTAGCTCTTTCTTTCTCTATCCAAAACCCCTTGCACCCTTTGCATATCTTCGTCCTTACTTTTTTCTCTTAAGCACTATTTCTCTTAGCACACATAAACTTTTACACAAAACATTTACTTATAAACTATTAATAAACTATAAAATAACTTTTTTCCCAAAAATTAAAAACAATAACTTATCTAAAAACACAAAATAGTAACTTTTTCAAAATCAATTTGAGTCACTTACCTAACATGTATTGTCTTGTAACTTTTACACATCATACTAATGCATATACAATCTAATGTTATAATTGATGTGCTAATTGTAAATTTAACATTTGAGTACAAAAAATATTCTCTAATGCAATGCTATTTGTTGTGTTAAATTTTCTATATGCTATACTTTGTGTCAAACTTCCCACCAAATATAGCATATGAAAAATTTGACATTTAATTGTTATTGATTGAAATGTTTATTTTTTTAAAAACAAAACAATTTTCAAAGCTTAATGATTATAAGAAAAAGTAGATTTAGCATCTCAAATAGCATTATGCATTAGAGTAAAAATGAAAATAACATATTATATCACACTTTTTAATGTTAAATATAAAATTAATATTAACATTTACATTGGAGATGATCTAAAAAGAAAAAATAAATAAATTCTAGTTGTACCAAAATTTTTGTGTCATTTTACACTTCCTGCTAACTATTCTCTGGATCCAATGGATTGATTGACCAATGAACGTGGAAATAAAGTGTACTTAGTTTACCATTCGGCCAATGTTGAGTATACCTCCACCCTAATTATATAATCAAATATACGGCAACAAAACAATCAAATATGTTATGCACATGGACGAAGGAATGTGAAAAAGTAAATTTAAAGAGAGGAAAAACAAAAAACAAAAAAACAAAAAATAAATAAGTTGATTAGTCCACGCTAATACTTTAAGTAAAGGAGCTCCACTTCATTCTAAGGCAGCCGCATTCCCATTCAGACCTTCCATCCTCGCGGCTGGGAAGTGTTTGTTTCCGGGCTCGTTGGTGCGATCGCAGGCGGTGGTAGGAGGCCAGCTTACTGTTATAACCTGTCGGGCTACTCTTTTGATCGGTGTTCTAAAAATAAATATCCGATGAACACCTGTCGTAAGCTCATAATTGCAAAGATACTTAGGAACGAGTTGATAATGATAGTACAATTTTCTGTAAATGTTGCACGCAATAAAAAAAAAAAAGCAAAATTAATTAATTAATTTTTATGAGACAAAACACGGTAGAATTTTTAAATTTAAATTTTCATATGAGAAAATATTGTAGTAAAACTTCAAATTGAGGTTTGAATCTCTCTACTAAACAAGTCCTTAATTATATATTGAAGTTAAAAAGTCATAACAGTTGGAAAATACATGAAAAATTGAGCTAAACCTGCTTGTAGAAAGGCAAAGAGAGCAACAACAAAAAAACAGAGAGAGAGAGAGAGAAATCTAAATATTGTTAGGGATTTTTTTTCTTTTTATTTGAAAAATAATATTCGATTCATATGACAGATAGGAAGTATTAATATTATCACAAGGAATTGTAAAAACAAACAATAATAAAATAGAAGTGCAAACTATTATATAGTTACTAGATTACAAAATGCTTTATTTGACTGACATGCTAATTATCATAAAGTCATTGATCTTATCGGATGAAGACAATAATGCATCGTGTCACGCTAATTATGCGACTCGGGTCATCATCCAAAACGATTTCCACGTGATAGTTGGTTCACAAGATTAACAATCCAATAATTAGTTAACAATCCAATAATTAGAGGCCAGTTACAAGGCTGGCTTGGAATTAACCAAGGATAAAGTTAAGTGAAAGCAATTAGTAACACCACTTTTTTTTATTGTTTATTTTTTTTTATATGGTTGGTAAAAAGTCTATTTGCAAAAAGCAATTAATATTCAATATTAATTAGGCGTTAATTAGGAAACAACATATTGAGATTTTTATTTATTTTATCGATTTGAGTTTTTAATTTTAATTTTATTACTGTTAAAAATTCTCATAAAAAGTCACATTTAATTTTTTTACTATAATAAAAAATTTTCACATAAAATTATATCTTAACTCAAATTAAAAATTTTAAGGCCCGTTCACTTCACCGATTCGAGTTTAGAATTCGAGTTTTGCTATAGTAAAAAGCTCTCAGAAATAGTCACATCTAACTTTTTTACTACAGTAAAAAATTCTTACATAAAGTCACATCTCAACTCGAATTAAAAACTCAAATCAGTGAACTAAACGGGCCATAAATATGTGAACTAAATGAGCCATGAATGTGCGTAGAAAACCAATCCCTTTTTAGCGGCTGTCGTGTTGCACGATTTCCTCAACGTTTGTTATACATTAAGGCATCGTTTATTTCACCGATTCGAGTTTTAAGTTTTTACAATAAAAAATTTTCAAAAAAAAATCACATCTAATTTTTTTATTATAATAAAAAAATTTTAAAAAATATCACATCTTAATTCGAATTAAAAATTTAAATACGCGAAGTCAGTTTTCTTTTATTGTTCAGGCACGTCTTGTCGTTGAAATTTTGTACTTCTCGGATGTTCTATTCTAGTCCTACTACAATAAATGGACTCGCATTAATCGTTTTGTTCAACACGCTTGCTATTTTTCTCCCGCATTTGAGCGTCCCAAATGTCTCCAACTTGCTCACTGATCTCTGTACTGGTTGGTATATTAAGTTTACGCTGACGGTTGAGTGGATAAATAAAGTAAAGTAATTATTAGCTTTTTCAGGAAGTACTATTCGAGTCGTGTGCCCAATGGACCGTAAGACGCGTTTAAATGCTATAAACGAGAATAAAAGGGTGATAAAATCTTAAAATGTAAGTTGGTATTTTAAATGAGTAAGGGCGGTTTCTTCCGTATCTTATTTTAAATTAAGATGTATTTAGGTATGATTTAAATGAAAATTTTAATTTAAGTTTGTATTTAAATGTGTATATTTAAGTTATAGTTTGAATTGTGAATCTATTTAAATTTCTATTTGGATGGGTTAAAATTTGAATTTATATTTTGATAGTATTTTAATAAAAATTTAATAATGACAGAAAATTTTAATATGGTATATACGTGGAGTATTGTGTCTCTTCGTTGTGAATGAATAGAAAAAAGAATAATCTCAATCAGAATTAAAACAAAAAAGTTATTATATTTTTAAAAATAGAGAAAATGTTGTTAATTACCTTGAGTTTGAGTTTAAAAACTTGAGTTGAAATGGGAGTTTGAACTCAGATTTTAGCCCCAAACTCAAGTGCAAACTTAAGGGGTTGTTCT